AGACACGACAACTTGAACAAGGTTAAAGCATAATGCATAATGGTAATTAACAATAAAAAATATAAAATTTTCAAATTTTACATAGTGTAAATGCACACTGGAATTTGTTAGAAGGTGGCCGGCTATCCTGGGAAAGACTTTTAAGGTGGGACTAACTGATAGGTACCCTTTCCAAAACATTATGTTATTTTTCTCTTTTTCCCTTTCTCTTTCTACTTTGCTTCTTCTTCCTAAATTATTGAACTCTTTCAATGTGGCCAACCTTTTCTAGAAACTTTCTGTTACACTATTGTATAATTTAATTCTTGCACACATCGTATTGGTAAGCTATTATTATTTATATTTTAATGACCAGGAAACATTGAGGTTGGAGAACTTCTGGCATAAACTTGGCACTTTTTTTCACTGAGCTGAAGCTAACACCTCCTATTTCTTCCTTTGATGTATGACCTTGGACAAAAACATCACTTAATCTCACTGTACCTTTTAAAAATGTTTTTCTTCTATAAAAGGGTAATAAAAATGTCTGCTCTACCAACTTCATGGGGTGCTATATTATTCTGGATAGCATGACAGTACTTTTGAGATGATTAAAACATAAGAAATATATGACATCATTATTTTTATTATAACATGAGTCTATGTGATCAACAATGTTCTAACTTTGAATAAGGGATTAGAACCAGATTGCAATTAAAAATAGCCTATCAATATTTTATTGGACTTTAAAGCTCCTAAGATATATTTACATACTTGAATTTTTGCATTAGGCAGAAAAAAGATCCACAAGCTGGACTTTTATGTTTCTCCAGCTGCAGAGTAGATCCAGACTAGTGCTCTTAAGAAGAGTCTCTACAATCTAAAGAAAGTGACTTATTTTCCTCAAACTTGTTTGAATTTAAACTTCACGTTTTATTTCTCATTGGCATTTTATTGTTTGGGTTACTGGATTCTGTGTCTCTGTTTTGTTTTTATGTGAAAAGAAAAACATACCAAGGCAGCCAAGCTGGCAAAGGGCTTCCTGGTGGCATGGCTTCTGTCTTCGGTGGCATGGCTTCTGTCTTCAGCAGCTTAACCCAGTGCAGCAGGGCGGGCTCCTTCTAGCGTTCAGTCACTGGTTCTCTTCCTCCCATCTTGATGGTTGGTGAATTTCCTGATCTGTTTTCTCTGAAACATAATAAAATATCCTGAACCTCAAAAGAAGGTGCAGTTTAAGATTCTGTGCACTTTCTCCACTATATTTGGAGAAAATGGAGTAGAAACTCTTGAAGGGTCTGTTGAAAAACCATAAGAGTAACCAAGGGAAGGAACCGTATTCAATAATTTAAAGGAAGAGAAAATACTTTCTGAAAAGATGATAGTTGACATACACACACACCTGCACATACACACAGCGTATAAATTGTATTCAATATTTTAATAAACATAGAATAAACATTGCATTATCACAGCAGTGAGGGAAGTAAAAACAAGAGAAAGATTCCCTGCAGTCCCACTGGTAATCATGAATCCTTAGAGAGGACAGTTTTCCCTAATCCTGGCTTCTAACTCTAATTGCTGCCTTTTGCTCTCTCTAGCACCATTCCTCCTAGCACCCCACATCCATAGCCTTCTTTTTTAGGAAGCAGAGCTGGAGTCATTCCACTGATGTTTGCTTGGGCTTGCTGGATACCCTACAGGGCTTCTTACCTGTATTTGTAAAGCATTTTCTTGCCACTCTGGGCATGTTTTCTGCATTACTTAAATGAGTATCTCACTAAATAAACTGAATATATCTTAAGAGCAGGGAAACCACTTCCAAATTTTATTCTTCTCCCCAGATCATGTATAGTTTCAAGCACATTAAAGTAAAATAGGTGCTCAGAGGATGTGGCGATCCATAGCGCAGATACCGACACTGCAAGTTGCTCAATTTCTACTTAATAATAAAATTCAGTCTCATAATATTTTTTTGAATTCTGGGAAAGTATAGACTTTTCATTTCATGTTTTCAGTTCCAGCTGTGGGTACACTCTACAGAATTCACAAATCCTTGCCAAGTGGTAAAGGATACCATTTGACACCCAGGATGTGTGAAGCATCGTTGCATTAAAACATGTATACCCTGCAAATGCCTGCTTTTTATTTCTATAAGTAGTTGTTTCTTATTTTCAAGTCTGTATTAACTATTCTAGAATATGAGTCCCAAGAAAACATAACTGTGTCTCTTCAGCTTGTGTGATGTACCTTACACACAGGCAAGTATGTGTGATTGCTTAATATCATAACATTGCTTGATGATAAGGTACGAAACAAGTCGTAGCTGAGCAACTGAACAGTCTTTTAAAGTTATTTAACATTACCCCATTAGGTGCTATCTACTGGGAAAAAAACAAAACAACAAAAGCACATTGTTAAGATGTGTAAATTGTTCTTCAGTGAAGGAGGTTTGTGTATATAATTGAGTTTAGTTGTTTTTGTTTATAGAGCTCCTGTAATTTCCCTGTGCCAGATTCTGAGTCAAAAGAAAAATACCAAAATACTTAGGCAACAGCTGTTCTCAGTCCTTCAGGGCGGTAATTCTGAGCCCGGGGATGTGCATATTCTTGTTGTGAAGTGATGCGCTTTGGCTAGAAAGCCCTGCGTTCTTCTACAGTGCTATTTTAGTGACCGTCCTTATAAAAACAAGGCTGTTTAATAGCTACCCTAAAGGAGAAAATAGCTAATGACCTAACGTGTGTGGTTCATGAACTCTTCTCTGAAGTATCCTTAGGATCTGAGTTTGTATTACTGAATACATTTCTAAACCTCACTGCGTAGTTCCTTCTTTGTAAAAGAGGAACGGTATTGTATGTAGTTTTTGTATTTTTAGTGATGCTGATCAGTTAATCATCTCTGAATTCATATTAAATCAACCAAAAATAATATGGGTAGTATGGCTATATATTAATATTTGCTGTCTCCTTCATTAAATTCCGTTAAACTGAAGTGCGTCATGTTGACTTGGTATAAACTTATTTCAACGATTATCAAATTGTATAACTCCTAGTAATTCAGTAGAATGAGCCTACTGCAGTTACCACCAGGCTACCTTATTTTGTAACAGGGTGTTGCTAGTGTTTGTACTTGTCTTGTTGCTTATTTGCAGTAAAATGAGCCTTTTACTGGGACACCTTCAGGTTCTTCTTAGTACTTCTAAAAGATGCTCAAGGAGGTATATTTATCAGCTCTTTTAGGTCAGGTTGCCATTCATGAACTCTTCTCTATTATATAGTATTCTTAAGAGAAAATATGCTTCAGGACCTATCTTAGTCTCGGCAAATAAGTTTTAGATATTTTTTTTTTTTAAAGTTTGGGATCAGAGCTAAAAAACTTCTTCTTGTGCAAATGATTCATCAGTATAAAAATCTTTATGCCAAAGTTAATGCTTCAAGGTACAGAATGAAATTACATTAAAAACTAATGGGTATTTGTATTGAATAGATAGAGGTTCTGCTGCAGCTGACAGAGACCACACTCAACAAGGCAGAAGTTTCTCTGTCTTTCACGTAGTTGTCTGGATGCAGAAAGCCCGGGACAATTGTGGTTGACCCTGTTCTACATGGTTGTCTGGAGTTTGTCTAGGCGTTCCACGGTGTTCAGGATTCAGGAACCTTCTCTCTCATTGTTTTTTATTTAAAATTTAATATTTTTAAATTTTTTGATAGATTTTATTAATTACTATTATTGAGTGACAATCTGACTTGGCAGTGTGCTTGACTGGTAGTAGAAGTCATGTTTTATTTATAGAGTTCTATGGGTTTGGCATAGCAAAATAATCTTGACACCAAATATTTGGTGAATTATTTGAAAGGTCAGATATTTTGGGGAAGGATCATTAATCTATGCCCTGTTTGCAAGACCCTGTGATATGTGAGGTGGAGCTCACCGCCCAGGGGAGGGGTAGGGAGGACACATATCATGCCAGACGGAAGGAGGAACAAATGAAGTGCTCCCGAAGCCCTGACAACAAGGATTGTGTGTGAAGGAGGCTTCATGGAAAGTAACGCAGGTGGGATGCCTTTGAAGGATGGGAAGGGCTTCGATAATCAAAAATGGAGGGGGAGGGCACAGAGGAGTGGGGCCATCCTGGGGGAGGTGGGAATAGACAGTACTGGGAATGGAAGCATGGTGTGTTTGTCCTGGTGTCCACTATGCCTTAGGAACGAAATTGGCAGGGGGTGTAGGAGGGGGTCAGTGTACATTCATCCTTGGCCTTTATTTTTTGTCATCTGATAGGGTGACAAAGGAGGTTTTATGTTGAATAATACTTTGAGGAAACTACATTGATTTGTTAATTTACATTATGTGAGATGCTTCTCTGAGCTATACTAATTTTTAGCACCTTGAAAATATGATTCATGTTTAGATGGAATTATGTCTGTATCTTGAACAAAGACATAATAATGACAGTACTTGTAAGTGTGTGACTCTTACAGGGGGACATAAACTCTCAGTATTCACAAAGGGCCAGGTTCTAAGTGCTTTCTGAAGTTAGAAGGTCATTTTACTGTCACATTCTGCTGATACATCATTTAGAGAAAGTTACAGAGAAAGTTCCAATTCCTGCTGAAGAGCAGAGAGCACTGACATGATTTTTTACTTAGGTGTGCAGAAAGAATTGGTTAGCTTTGTGCACAAAATAGGCTGAAATCAAGCTTTAATTAGTCAGACTTTTGCATAATTCATCACGGTCACTTTGGAAGTCCAGCAGAATATGCTCTTGATTTGATCTCAATGAGTTCATTTTAAAGGACTGGTCATCTTATTAGTTCTTTGCAGTGCAGATATTTAGATCTTCCCAGCAAAACCATGACATGCACCTAGTCTCCTGAAGAAATGAATTGCTACATAAAGATTTATAAAGAAATGAATCAATATGTAAAAAAGTTATTCCTGTTAGATATCATTCTTGATATGAGCATAATCCTTCTTAAAGACAGGAAAGTAAGTTAAAGTTCTTTCTGTCTTTGAATCCATAGGCCATCCATCTGGCCCAGGCAAGTTTCCAGATTGAAGCCTTCGGCTCCAAATTCATTCTTGACCTCATACTGAATAAGTAAGTATTTAGTCATAATGCTCTTATAAAGCAGGTACAATAAATTCATTTTTATGATATTGGTTTAGTCAAAATAATGTCTGTTGTTGAAGCAACTGATATTTTCTAGCTGATTATATGTCATCGAGCACTTAAAGTAAAATATAAAAGTCTGAAAGATGAATTCTGCCTTTTTTTCTTTTCCTGAAAGAAAAGACATTTAACGTGTTTAATATCTCAAATGTCATGCTAATGTTATGATTTTAAATGGAATAAATATTTGACGTAATGCTAGTTAAATGTTAACTGTAATCATCGCTATATATAAGAAGCATGATAAATTACTGATTCAAGTATAATTTAGCTTCAGTCTAGAAATTTCTTCCATTTTACCCTTTATAATGCAATTCACGTGACTTCTGTAGGAAGAACGAAGTAAGTGATGACTTGCAAATACCTACTTTGAGAAGATTCTTTGCTTCATAATTTCCTCTAATATGGTTTCTTAGAAATTTTGGTCCTGATGACAATTTACCTGATTGTCTCTGAGCATGTGTGTGTTGATATTTAAATGCTGTTTCCTAAGTTGGAACCAGTTGCACAGATGTCTTTGTACAAAGTGTGACCAAGAGCTGTTGACTTAACCAGGGCTCTTCAGTCTTAAATAGAGCTAGCACTGAGCCTTTCTTTGGTGAAAGAGATTTTTTGTGTGGTGTTCCTGAGTTACAAAAACTCCAGTCAGTATTTTAAGCTCTCATTAGCATTTTGATCAGGACTTCATCTTTGCAAGAAAAATACCACTTAGTGCTGTCGAACGCTATGATGCAGATGACCACAGCCAATATCTGAGCAATTGCAAAGGACTGTAAAGAACAACTATTAAATTTCTCATGTGCCAAATACTGTGAGCTCTGCAGAAAAAAATGCAGAGTCAGCTTGGGTGCTCCTTACTCAAGTGTTATTGCAGCTTTAAGTCACAGTGAATCAGCAGAACTCAGAATTTCCTTTGTTGAAGGTATTGCAGGTTTTCCTCTGTGGTTGAGTTCAGTTTCACCATGCTGTGTCAGCAGTATGCCTGCCTAAGAGATTTGTCTTGCCAAATCTTAGACTATGTTGAGTAGCAAGATATGGCTAATTTTAGTTCAAGTCCTCTATTCCTTTAACTCTTACTGCAGTGGAGACCGTCATTCCAAACTGTAGCATGATGATAGCAACCGACACTGCTATGTGTTTTGAACAATAAAATATCATGGCCATACCAGAATTTCCCAATTAAATAGTAGATGAAGGAGAAAGGGTCATAGGGGATGTCCAGGTACTTAAAGGTCTAGAAACATGCCAGAAATTATTCATCAGTAATGTTTAGCATGTGAAGGAATCAAGTTGAGCACCTATTATGACAAGTCCTTGTCTTGAAAAATTTGGAGTCTCCCTGGGTAAGGTTGGTAGATACACATATAATTTTAGAAGAGTGTGAAATGTACTAGAGGTTAATGTGAAATGTTTTGGTAGCATCAAGGAGACACAGCTCTTCTGGGTAGAGGAGGGTGAAAAGGCATCTTGGAAAAGATGATGCTCAAACTAAATCTTGGAGAAGTGTGTTCTAGGCATGTGAGATAGTGTGTCTACAGAGGCAGGGCCATGTTGCAATGGCATGTTAGGGGAGCATGAGTCTTTTGTTGAGCTTCCTCATAAATGACAAGGTTGATGCAGAGGGAGATGGGTCAGGAGAGATAGGCCAAGGGACAGTTCAACTCATGGAATATCTGGTATTTCATGCTCAAGTACTTGGCCATTATCCCCTGGACTGTGAAGAATCAAGTCAGGGAAATAAACAGAGGTTCTGTTCTCAGGAACTGCTAAGATGCAGGGAGAGGGAATACTTTTAAGAAATCAAGTTGTTAAAAACCATTAGGATTGCTTCAATGTGGATGGCAAAGCAGAGAGAAGAGTTAAAGACAACAGAGGTGCCTTGATTGGTTGGTTGGGTGGAGGGGGGGTACTTAGCTAAAATGGGTAGCACCAGAGAACAAACAGATTAACTGGTTCAAGGGAAGAGAATGTGATGTCAGAGGAGTCATAATAGATTTGAGGGGCTCTGGGACACACATGAAGCCATGCCAAGGAGGTTGCTGTGTGTAACCTCAGAGGAGAGGTGGGAGCTAGAAAGAGGGGACTCAAGAGTTATTTTCATATAAATACTACAAACATAGCCATGGCTATGAATGAGGTTGCTCAGGGAGGGTAGGTAGAGAAAGGAGAGAGAAGCTGGGGGGATAGTTACGAGGTGGGGAGAGGAAGAAGAACCCACGAAGGAGATTGAGAATGAGTGATCAGAGAGGTAGGAGGAGAATCAGGAGAATGACAGAGAGTTTCAAATAGAAAGCTGTGATTTGCAGTATCACATGCTGTGTAGAATGATCTAGTGCAGTAGGAGCAAAAGTTGCCCTTTGGGTTTGCCAAGAAAGTGGTCACTGGTGGTCTGGAAGCAGCAGTGTGAGGCCGCAGTGGGCTGGGAGTGAAGGGGAGGAGATGAGGTGGAATGGCAATGCCGATTGTGGAGGCTTGGGTGAGAAGAAAAGAGCTAGAAGATGATTCCGGGGTCAAGGCGGGGCTTTTTAGTGATCACGGAGTAAGTGGATAGATTGAGAGATGGAGCTGATGAGAGTCAGAGGTGGAACATACAGAAGAGAGAGGAGATAATTTATAGGGCAAGAGCTGGGTGCAGACAGAAGGGAGTGAAATCAAAGCATAAGGGCAGAATTTAGTTTTGAACCAGGGGAGACAGTTCATCCTGCATAGGTATGAAGGTATTAGGGTGTGTGCAGGTGAGAGCATGGAGTTGAATAAATGCACCTCTGAAGATGTTCTTGGAGACAGCATTGTCTGCTGAAGGGATGGGGATGGAGAGGGATGGTGTGTTGGGGTTTGAGGAAAATGATGAAAATTTAGACTAATTGCAGGGAGGAATGGGTGGGGAAGCTCATCAGGGTCTAGTTAAAGAATGTGTGAACAACCTTCATTAGAAATCATGAAATCTTTGTGTTAGGTGTTAGTCTTTGTGTATTTTTTCTTGATTTTTTTTTTTTTTTTTGAGACAGGGTCTTGCACTGTGTCCCAGGCTATAGTGCAGTGGCATCATCATAACTCACAGCAACCTCAAACTCTTCGGCTCAAGCGATCCTTCTGGCTCAGCTTCCTAAGTAGCTGGGATTATAGGCGTGTGCCACTGCGCCTGGCTGTTTTTGGTAGAAATGGGGTCTAGCTATGTTGCTCAGGTTGGTCTGGAACTCCTGGCCTCAAGCAATCCTCCCACCTTGGCCTCCCAAAGTGCTATAATTACAGGCATAAGCCACTGTGCCTGGACTGTTTTTTAAATTTTATTTTTATTATTTTTTAAGATCTGGGTGCTCCGTCACCACAGTGTGAGTGAAGGAGGCGGATTGTAGTGTAGATCCAGGTTCCAGTCTTTGTGGTGGCACAAAGAAGAAGGGTTCAGGCACAGCGCTTTGAACACTGACGAATGACTTGGGTTGTTAAGTGTCGGGATCCAGTCAGGGTAATAAAGGAGATGAAGTCAAGAGGAGGCTATGGACTGGAGGGAATGGAGCTCTCCAGAGTGAAACATGCAGTGCAGGGAGGCCATGAGAGCTGCCGTCCTCCCCAGCAGGGCGGTCCTGAGCCTTCGGAGCGCAGCATGAGTGTGTAATACTGGTACATACCATGCCCTGGAGACAGGGGAACGGGGTCGCAGTGTGAGATGTGTTGTGGGGGTGGGCTCTAGTGTAAATGACTTGTAAGGGCTGGGATTAACTAAAAAGTCTGATCCATGTTAGAATAAAGTTAGAGAGTCAAGAAAATGTTTAAATTCGTCATGGAGGACTCAAAAGAGCTTCTGAGGAAAGAGGAATCTCATTTCCACCACAGGGTGACCATTGCCACGTTATAGGCAACAATGTTGAATCATCAGTTAGGAGGGAAAAGGCAAAAGGTGCTTGGTAATCAGCATGTGGGCTCAGTGTGCGAGGAAGTGAGTGAATAAAGATGTTACCATAAACTGCTCCAGGCGGTGGCCACAGAATCCACGTCATTAGTGACCTCACCAGGCCTGGAAGACCATCTTGTGAGGACTATCGGGCCGTGAGTTCCCGAGGAGAGCCTCTTTTGAGTCCGCATTTTCCTAGATTGAACGAGGAGGCCTTGGCTTGTGGAGGCATCACAAGGCAGCGCTGTGTGTTTTATTCATTTGTTCAGCAGTTGCCAGGGAGCATCTGTTGTGTGCCCGCGACCACTCGGGGTGCTGATGTTGCTGGGAATAAGACAGACCGGACCCCTCCTCCCCAGACAGCGTCCTTCCAGAGGAGGAGGCAGGTACCGAGCACAGAAACCCCTGGGCTGTGTGAGGGAGGGGACTCGGGTGGAGGCGGAAGAAGCCAGAGGCCTGTCTGTTGGGGGACGCTGGGCTGCGCCCTGGTTGTAAAGAGGGGCCGCCACGTGATGCCGGAAAGCTGAGGGTTCCACATGGCTGGGACAGCAACACAGCTCGTGCTGAGGAGGAGGTGGAATGTTCAAGAAGGACAGAGGCCGTGGTGACTGGAGTGCAGTGGCGGGCAGGGGTGGGGGACTGAGGAGCTGAGGTCAGAGTGGGAGCAGCCGTGTTGCCAGGCCCTGCGGGACTGTGTGCCCGGCCAGGAGTTTGGGAGGGAGGCACCGGAGGGCAGGACGCACGGAAGTGACTGGTCAGGTTTACATTTTATTCAGTTGTGGCCTCAGAGGACCTTTAGTCATGGTCCTCTCAGAATACTCCCTCTTTAAAATCTTGTTTTATTTTTCCTCTAGAACAGCCATCGTTCCAAGTTACAGTAGGTTTTCAAAAGATTTCTCGGTCAACATTTCTTTTCTTCTTCTTTTTTTTTTTTTTTGGTGTCAAGCATTTTAAATTTAAAAAAATTTTAATTTTTAAAACATTTCATTGAGGTATGATTGACATTAGGTCAACAATTCTTAATGTCTGTCAGACC